TTAAAAATATTGCTGTCCTGTGCCTTCACATTTCTGACTTAGAATGACTAAGTCAGAATCTATCATGGGGCTTCCTTGGCAAGATTTGTCCAGAGGGAGGTTTGCCTTTGCTTTCCTCTCAGGCTGAGAGAATGTGACTTGTCAATGGTCACCCAGTGAGTTTTCATGGTGAGCAGAGATTTAAACCCTCGCACCCAGTCTCAGTAAAATGTACATTCTTTTGGAATTTATGTTTTAAAAAACATTTTTTCAAACTGTGGATATTGTAAATCCATGGAATAAATGAATCCATGGATAAAGAATCCGTGGATATGGAGGGCCAACTTAGGGCCTTTGCAGACTGCCAGAAATAGTGCAAATTGAGTCCACTTTAAGGGTTAGGGTTAGTGCTAGGGAATCATGGGAATTTTTTTTTCTGAGACATTGAGCCTTCTCTGTCAGAGAGCTCTGGTGCCACAATAAAATACAGTTCCCATGATTCCCTAACCCTAACCCTAACCCTTAAAGTGGACTCAATTTGCACTATTTCTGGCAGTCTGCAAAGGCCCTTAGTAAGGTTATACTTAGGCTCTGGCCAGTTTAGCCTTGGCAGAGAAAAGTGTCAGTCAGCTTCCCTAAAGTATAACTTTTGCCTTAGGCTTATTTTGGGGGTTAGCCTATTTTTCTCTTATGGCTCAGATATCCTTGGAGTTCCGGAACTTGCCGAAGGTCTATCAGGATGTGATTGCTGACATTTGCCACAAGATGGGCCTTGGGATGGCTGAGTTCTTGGAGAAGAAGGTGGAATCCAAGAAGGAGTGGGACAAGGTCAGTGACTTTGCACGGGAAATCTTCATGGCGGTCGAAAGGTGTTGATCAGCTAAAATGGTGGTTATGTGATTAAAAAGATTGCTGTGAAAAGCTGTCAGTCCTAGCTTTGTGCTTCAAGGGCTGAACCTTTCCCCCTCTTTTTAAAAAAGCATGGAGATGTATGGCGAGGTTCATCTTTAGAAGTAACAAAGTAAAAAAAAAAAAAAAAAGGATTTCATTTGACATAGGGCTAAAGTCCAGCCTATCTGAAAGATCATATCTCCCTGTACGAACCTACCAGAGTCTAATAGTCATTGGGGAGGGTATTCTCTTTGTCCCACCATGGGCACATTTGGTGAAGAAGCAAGAGAGGGTCTTCTTGGTGGATGCTCCCAGATTTTGGACTTTCCTCACATGGGGACTTAGCTGGCTCCCTGTATGCCCTGCTTTCAGCTGCAAGCCAAGAAGTTTTGATGTAATGAAGCATTTGGTGATTAATTGGTTGTGGGTAATCTTTTAAATAGATTGTGTGTGCTTTATTTTTATCATTGGTGTTGTGTTTTTAAATGATTTTGCACTTTTTAAATATGATGGTGTCTTAATACGAAAACTCATTCGATCGTGATTCTTTTATCTTCAGTTTTTTTAGCTTTATCTTGTTTTAGCCTTGGCCTAAGCTGCCTTGGGTCCCATGTCAGAGGAAAGGCAGGATATAAATAAATAAATAAATAAATAAATAAATACCTGAGTTGCCATTTTCAGGTGGGTGCAGATAGCCACTGTTCCCCACCATCACCAAATGTCCTGAAGGGAAAGACCATACACATTGCACAAGGGAGAAATACGTCATCCAAAAGTTGTATCAACAGGGGAGAGATTGCATTAGAAGCTGCCTTAGGCTGAGAAGAGAGAGCATGTGCCAAAAGATTCCAAAGCCAGATATCTATCTTCTATCTTCGCCTTTCTCCAGATTAGTATAGGTATACCATATATACTCAACTAGTAGGGGCCTAAGCAGACTGCCAGAAATAGTGCACATTAAATTGAGGCACTGCTCTGGCTCACTGCTAGGGAATCATGGGAACTGTAATTTATTGTGGCACCAGAGCTCTCTCACAGAGAAGGTTCAATGTCCCAGAAAAAAATACAATTCCCATGACTCCCTAGCACTGAGCCAGGGCAGTGCCTCAATTTAATGTGCACTATTTCTGGCAGTCTGCTTAGGTCAACCTCAACTATAAATTGAGGGTGGGGTTTGGAGTCAAAATTATGGATTTTTATATGACCCACGGGTATGTCAAGAGTAAAACCTAAGGTCATGTAACAAAAGATGTAAAGGACAAAGCAAAGGAAAACACTGCCAAAGAACTTACAAAATTCTGGCAGGCATAACTATTTGTGCTCACCCTTAAGGCTGGATGGATGAGGAGGGGACTGCTGTAAATTGTGGCTGTGTGATGTGTGAGGGAGATGACCAGGCACAAGTGTGATTAAGAAAACACACCAAAAAGACAAAGCAAAGAAAATGGTGACTATGGGGCTGTACAGGTTGGCACGAAGGGCCGGCCCCACTCATGCCACCCATCTGCCCAAACAGTGGGCAGCATGATGTTTTCATATTTTAATGGGAAAGGAGTAGCCTGGAGAAGGAGTGTACAAAATAAATCGCTCCATCATGCCATTTCTGCAGTGCAGCATTTAGACACGTTGCGCAGAATGAACGGCAAAAAGCCACTGCTGCAGTAGCATAGGTTGCTTTTTACTGTTCCAAAAAGGAGCGGCATTTTGCTACCCCTTTTTGAGCTGGCAAATCACCAGATTGGGGCTGTGGCATGCGGTTGCTGCAGCCCCAATGCAGCACTGAAAGGGGCGGTGGCAAGCTGCTCCTTTGGGGCCATCTGTATAGTCCCTATGTTAGCAGTAATTATAACTTTTACTGTCATAACTTATGCAAATGTCTTATTCAAGTCCTTCAGAGCTCACTTCCTCTCTGTGATCCTTAGAGAGGAAGCACCAAAGAGCTGGCACTGCTGCCATTTTCCTGCCCAGGCATTCAAAAAGCTGAAAAGCGGTGCTGTAGTAGAAAGTAGAGGGGGATAATGCTTCTTTTAGGTGCTCCTAGGATGGACTTAGCTCTTGCCTTTCTCCACTCTATTTAGAAAGGGATGGTTTACACACCCCCAATTTTTAAAAAGAATTAAAGTACAGTACTTATATTGACCCATAGATAAGTCAACTCAGGTCTTTTAGGTCACTTTTTTTAGTAAGGTTTCTCAACGTATGCATAAGTATATACAGTGCTACAGCTAAGAAAGCAGATGTGTTCTTTGGTATTACTACTGTTAACATAAAGTTTTGTACCAAAGGCAGAAATCCCATAGCTACAATAGGGATAGGTTCCTGTGTCACAAAAAAGAAGAGTAGTTCAACACATTTCAGCAAGATTTTTGTTTGGAACTAAGAACAGGCACATGGGAAATGAAACCACCCAGTCAAGTCAACCTTCCACAGGTAAAAAATAAAAATAAAAATAAAAATTCTTCAAAAATGTATTCAGGGTTGCCTTTTTCTTCCTTTTCTCCTGGTTTCCATTTTTTTCAGCTAGAGTGATAGATCTATGTTTTTTTCACGTCAGGGGTCATTGATAAGATGGGCTTATCTACACTAATCTACACTCCTTATTGTCAGTGTGTGGATGATGGTTGTTGCAGTGATGCTCTTTGACACCCAGCAGAATCTCCATTTTCAAAGGTTTCTCACCAAAACTTGGCAATTTCTTTGACATCTCATACCCCTCTATCAGCTAGATAAACATCTTTGATAATGGAGGATTTCTTACTTTTCAGCAAATCTGCATTATTTATCAGATTTTAGCGCTCCTTCCAGGGGTGGTGAAGTTGCGTCGTGGGGCCGAGGTGTGCAGATACCTCGGCCCCGCGGTGCAGGCTCCTGGGGCGGCCCCATACCACCCGTCTGCTTCTCCCCTTAGTCTTTTCCAGCTCAGCCTTTGTTTCTTGTGTTGTTTACTGTGGATGCACTACTGCAACCCAACACCAAAAGTCTGTGTTTTTCTAGCTCTTCTTGATTGTCCTTTCAGTGCTAATGCTGCTAACAAACCTTCCAACTAGACAGAAGATGTGGAGGAAAATTGGGGCCTGATGGATATAAAAAAGTCTTTGAAAAAAGAACGTTCGTTGTCAGAGGCTTTGTTAAATAAACCACACCTGTGTAAAATGTCTTCCTCTCCTAAATGCCCTGAGCTTGTATTTGAGGAATTTCACCACATTTTTTGTCAGCTTTGTATTTAGCCCTAAGACCACCCTTTGTCCAGTCCTGTTCTAAAGCCTGGCATTTTTGAACCTCTCTAGTACTGTCACTATGTTGCTGGCCTGGTGGGAATTGGACTCTCACAGCTTTTCTCTGCATGCAAGCTTGAAGACCCTATTGTTGGCCAGGATAAAGAGCTCGCTAACTCTCTGGGAATTTTCTTGGAGAAAACCAACATCATCAGAGATTATCTGGAGGACCAAATCGAGGGCAGAGAGTTTTGGCCCCAAGAGGTAAGGAAAATGAGGGTGAGGGAGATAGTAGGGAAGGAGATCAAATAACGTTTGAGCTGGAGAAGGATCACAGCTGAGTGGCAGACAATGTGATCTCAAGTTCTTTCCCCACCATCTCTAGTTGTTTGCATGTTTCTTCCTTTCATTTGAAACAACCATACTGCCTTGATCAGCTTTATTTTGGAAGCTAAGAAGGATCAGGCCTGGAGGGAAAGTCAAGAAAAAAATAATTAATTAAATAAGGGTTCTCACCAAGAGGAGGGAGCAGGTTTGTTTTCTGCTGCCCCAGAGGGTAGATCTAGGTCTAATGGTTTCAAGTTGCAGCATGGTAGATCTTGATTGAACATTAGATGGAGAAATGCCAACAGGGAAAAGGCAGGCAGAACTACTCAACATCTTCCTTGCCTTGGTCTTCTCCCAATACGAAGACAGTGCTCAACCTGTGGAAAATAGAGCAGATGATGATGCTGTAGGGGAAATGCAGTACAGAATAGGCAAAGAGGCTATTGTTGTTGTGTGCCTTCAAGTCGTTTCTGACTTATGGCAATCCTCATGGTTCTCTCAGAAAGATTTGTTCAGAGGAGGTTTGTCATTGCCTCCCGCTGAGTCTGAGAGTGTGTGACTTGCCCAAGGTCATCTAGTGGGTTTCTATGACCGAGCAGGGAATTGAACCCTGGTCTCCAGACTCATAGTCCAACACTCAAACCTTATGCCACGCTGGCTCTTAGGTGAAGATGTAGTGGAGAAATACCTGGCTACTCTAAAAGAATTCAAATCTCTGGGGTCAGATGAACTTCATCAAAAAGTATTGAAAGAACATGTTACCCCAAGAGCCCTCTGCATCTCTCTTCTTTTTCAATATTAAGTTGATATCAGAAGGGATATTTTAGGCATGTAGCTGAGAGGGCATGCTCAGTGCAGGAAACTAGCCATGCCTTATAATAACATCTGTGACTATATAAGGAGATCTGACTGGCTCAGCATGGGGGAGTCTCAAGAGCACATGGTCAGGTTAGATCAATCAAGGTCAAAATCTGCATAACTCCTTTATTGATAGAAGTAATGATGGGTGATAGACCTTGTGCTTATAAATGAACAGAAACCCAAGTACACTCCCCTCTGCACAGCTTGTCCAGTCTTTTACAAATTCCCTTCTCATTCTTTTCTCCTGGAAATGTCAGCTTAATCCCAAAATCTGCCCCCAGGATATGTTTTACCTTATAAATGTAACTGCCAAGGCACCCCCAATTTTGTCTTATTTTGAGGTCAGACAGACACTCTGTCTGCATCTCACTTGACTCCTCAGCAATTGCTGGCCACCACAGATTCATAGACAGCATCCTCAGCCACTTTCAACTTATAGAACTCCCCCCCCCCACACAACTGGATCCTCTGCTTCTGGAATTGGTACAGTATTGCCCTCTGCAATACCTCATGTTGCTATCTGTTACCACCTTTTATATTGTTAGTTCCTGAATATTTGTGTGTGAGCATGCTTTTGTGTAAATTATTATTCCCTGTTATCTACAAATAAAACTACACTTAGGCCTTGCATTCTGGAGTTTTGTTTCTTGTAACAGGTATATATATAGGCTTGATCCCTGTTTTTAGTTGTCCAAGCCCTCTCAGCAGCTTTAATTGAGCTAATAAAATATGTCTTATTAACAATAGTAGATACATTAAATATTGATTCTGGGTGCCCTCTCAGGACCCCAGCATTTTGGGTAACAAACTGACAGAAGTAATCTCAGAGCCACTGGCAATAATATTTGAGAATTCCTGGAGGACAGAAGTCCCAGCAGACTGGAAGAAGGTAAATTGTTGTCCCCAACTTAAAAAAAAAGGGGGGAGAGAGAACCCAAATGATTACCGCCAAGTCAGCTTGACATCAATACCATATCGTGAAACGGACAATCTCTAGGCACTTAGAAAGGAATGCCATGATCACTAAAAGACAATACAAGCTTTTCAAAAAACAAGTCATGCCAGAGTAATCCTATCTCTTTTTTGGATAGAGTTACAAGCTTGGTAGATGAGAGGAATGTAGTGTATCTTGATTTTAGTAACGGCTTTGACAAGGTCCCCATGGCATCATTGCAAATAAGCTAGTAAAATGTGGTCTAGCCAATGCAATTTTCAGATGCATTTGTAACTGGTTGACAGGCCGAACAAGATCCTGTCCTAGACCCAGTATTTTCAACATCTTTATCAATGACCTGGATGATAGAATAGAGGGCATGCTTATCAAATTTTCAGATGACACCAAATTAGGAGGGGTAACCAATACACCAGAGGAAATCAAAATTCAAAATGACTGTAACAGATTAGAGGGCTGGGCCAGAACTAACAAAGTGAATTTCAACAGGGAGAAATGTAAGGTACTACACTTTGGCAGAAAAAAAAAATGAGATGCACAGATATAGGATGGGTGACACCTGTCTCAACAACAGTACATAAGCATGAGTTTACAGTATGATGCATCAGTTTAAAAAGCCGAAATAACCCTAAACTGCATCAATAGGAGTATGGTGTCTAGATTGAGGGAAATAATAGTGACACTCTATTCTGCTTTGGTCAGACCTCACTTGGAATATTGTGTCCAGTTTTGGGCACCACACTTCAAGAAGGATATTGACAAGCTGAATGGTGTCCGGAGAAGGGCAACCAAAAAGGGTCTGGAAACTGTGTCCTATGAGGAGGGGCTCAGGGAACTGGGTATATTTAGTGTGGAGAAAGGAAGATTAAGGAGTAACCTGATAGCCATGTTTAAATATTTGATAGTCTGTCATATTGAGGATGGAGCAAGCTTGTTTTCTGCTACTCCAGAATTTAGGAGATGGAGAAATGGATTCAAACTACAGCAAGAGGTTCCACTACAGTATTGGGAAGAACTTCCAGACCTTAAGAACTGTTTGTCAATGGAATACATGCCCTTGGAAGGTGGTGCAGTCTCCTTTGCAGCTTTTTCAACAGAGGCTGGATGGGTATCTGTCTGGGGTGTATTCTTGCACAGCAAGCAGGAAGTTGGACTGAATAGCCCTTGCAATCTTTTCAGACTCTATGATTCTATGAAAGAAGGATTTCAGAAATAACGTGTGCAAGCCAGAATGGCTAAACTCATTATCAGTGTCTTTTTGGGGAAAGGGTGGAGTGAGAGAATTCTAGGTTTGGTGTTGCAACATCCCACCCGCTTGGCAGGAGTCCCTAACCCTTTAAGTGTTCCCAGGTTTGGAGCAAATACACAAAGAAGATGTCTGATCTGGCCAAGCCTGAGAACATCGATAAAGCCGTGCAGTGTATGAATGAGCTCATCACTGATGCCTTGCATCACATCCCTGATATCTTGATGTACTTGTCCCGACTGAAGAACCAGAGTGTGTTCAACTTCTGTGCCATTCCAATGGTAGGTTGGATGCTCTCTGAAGGTCTCTGCCTCTTGGGAGGGCATTCTGTGGGCATTTCACATTACATAGGATGTTATCACACGGGGCCCAATCCAAACAGAATCGAAATGAAATCCCGCCCGAATCCGGATTATTTGCCCATGTTTTCACATGACGTCGCACAGAACCCCGACAGAAAGTGGACAGAAAGTGGAAAGAACTGAGATCTTTTGAATTTCAGTTTCTTGAGGAATTGCAATTGCGTGATGAGGATCATTTCGCATTTACCGTAAGTATGATAACCAAATACGTATCGGGGAACATTTCCCCGTCATTACCCATGGTTCCCGCGAGCATTACTCTATCTGCGCATGTGCAGGAGGCTCATTTTGGCTACATTTATGTTTTTTTTTCTCTTGTGTGTGGACGTTCGATACACTTACTGTAAATGCGCAATGAAGGTAATGACGTTTGTGGAAACAAGATTTATTTCCTGTTTATTTTCGGGATGCCTCGTTTCCACTTTATTTTCAGTTTCTGGGCCATGTGTGATAACGTCCATAGTGACAGCCCTATGATTCCACTTTAACTTGCATGGCAGGTTCTGGGGTTTGGAGTCTGGAGATCCATTAGAGTTTTCTGGTTGGAAATTTTAAATGCCCCTGCAAATCCCAGAATTCCCTAGGGTGGAGCTGTGGCCATTAAACTTGAATCATAGTGCTATGATTGTTCAGTGAAAAAGGGCTCCAATATAGGCACATTCTGAGGCTGGAGAGGTTGTCGCATTCAAGCTCAGGCATCTCCAGTTAAAAGACAGCAGACAGTAGGAAATATTTGTTTCTGCCCAAAGTATCATGGAAAGCAGCTGACAGTCCCAGTTTGTGATCTGGCCCTTGATGGGCCAAACTCAGGGTACATCTAATGAAGGAGGGGTAAAAAAAGGGCATTGCAACCCAAAATAAGAGCCTGCTGCTCCCAAAATTTCATGTAATTCCACAGCAAACAGAAGCTTTGTAGGTGTGAACAATTTTCAGTGTCAGACTCTCTGGAATTATAAAAATTAGAGGACTGAATTCCATTTTGGGAAGGCAGATTTCTTATTGGGAGGTACTGCACTTAGGGTGAAAAAATGAAATGCATATATTAGGATGGGAGACACCTGACTTAACGAGACTACATGTGAAAGGGATCTAGGAGTCCTAGTAGACCACATGTTGAACACAAGTCAAAAGTATGATACAGCAACTAAAAGGGCCAATGCAATTCTAGGCTGCATCTATAGAAATTTAGCATCTAAATCAAGGAAAGTAGTCATGCCACTCTATTCTGCTTTGGTCCGGCCTCACCTGGAATACTTTGTCCAGTTCTGGGCACCACAATTCAAAAAGGATGTTGACAAGTTGGAGCGTATCCAAAAGAAGGCAACCAAAATGGTGAAGGGTCTGGAAACCATGCCCTATGAGAAGCGACTTAGGGAGCTGAGTATGTTTAGCCTGGAGAAGTGATTGATAAGCAGTGATATGATAGCCCTATTTAAATATTTGAAAGGGTGTCATATTGAGGATGGAGCAAGCTTGTTTTCTGCTGCTCCAGAGAATAGGACATGGAACAATGGATGAAAGCTACAGGAAAAGATAAGAGGAACTTCCTGACAGTAAGAGCTGTTTGACAGTATAACCTACTCCCTTGGAGAGTGGTGGAGTCTTCTTGCGTGGAGGTTGTTAAACAGAGTCTGGATGACTGTCTGTTAAGGGTACTTTGATCGTGAGTTCCTGCATGGCATAATGGGGTTGGACTGGATGACCCTTGTGGTATCTTCCAACTCTATGATTGATAAAACAGGGTTTAAATGGAAAACTACATGCTCTAGAATTTTCTAGAGTGATTTTTCAGATCAGTGGGATTTTCTGTCCCCTAAATGTGAGGGAGGTCTACGGGGGCACACAAAGAGTCATGGATTGCATGACTCCCACTTCTCCAGTAGAACAGTGTTGGGTGAGAGAAGGTTGTTTACTTTTAAAAGTCTCTTGCACATCTCAGGGGACGCAGGTATCACCCTGCTCCCTAGTCTGAGCCTAGTAGGATTTTTTTTTCAAAACTCCAAATGGTTTCTTGACATCTGGACAGTCAGCAACATGTGGAGAGCCACACAGTTCCCACCTCTGGGCCCTTTTACACTATACAGTTGCAGCCACTTTTAACTGCCATGGTCCCATGCTATGGGTTCCTGGAATTTGCAGGATGGGCAGAATCAATTCCTCTCTAATGTGTTGCCAAAAGGGAGTTCTGTGGATACTATGGAGTGTTAAAAAGATAAATGAATAGAGTGTTAAAAAGCT